GTTGTTGGTCTCTTAGGGTATTGTTTATATTTGTACAACCCTTAGTCCACTTGGTTTTTGTCCTGATCTTCTGTAGTGTCTGTACTTTTTTTTTTTTTGAACAAACAATCTTATCTACGCTAAGGGGGTGGGGGAGTAGGCTAAGCCTCACAATGGGCTTGCAGTAATGTGGTTCAAATTCGCCTTTGGCGAGAGTCAAACCTAAGACCTCTCACTTATAAGTGAAGAGGAATACCACTAGTCTATATTGTTTGTACTTGTATGGAATGACCCGAGATCCCCATTTCCTTGTTCACCTCTCACAGACCCTGCGTAAAGCGGGAGCCTTGTGCACTGGGTACGACCTTTTTTTTTTATTATTTATTTTAAGATTATGCTTCTTGATATACAATCTTGCAACACATTTCTTACCACCCTGTGCGAGTCACTCAATGAAAACATTTTTAAAAGAAATGTGTTAGTTTTTTATTAATTAGTAGAGAAACTAAGCCGAAGTACTTGTTATAGGGTATAGAAAAGAAGACTGCCAAGTTGCAGGGAAGTGAGAAGGCTGTAGTTGCACGACATGAAGCTGGTCATGCAGTAGTGGGGACTGCTGTTGCAAGCCTTCTTCCTGGACAGCCACGTGTTGAGGTGAATTTTTTAGAGATTACTGAAAATAGTTCTTATTTATATTACTAATGAACGGATAAGAATAAAGTAACTTGGAAATGTAATACGAGAAATTGTGAATAATTCAAGTCCTGCTCATGCAGTAGCTCATTTATTAACTTTCAATTTGCATGGATATACCAATTGCTGTGTCTTTGTGTTATCAGAAATTGAGCATATTGCCAAGATCAGGAGGGGCGTTGGGCTTCACTTATATTCCTCCAACAACGGAAGATAGATATTTACTCTTCATTGATGAGTTGCGTGGACGTTTGGTTACACTTCTTGGAGGACGTGCAGCAGAAGAATTTGTATATTCAGGTCGTGTCTCAACGGGTGCACTTGATGATATACGACGAGCAACTGACATGGCATACAAAGCAGTAGCTGAGTATGGTCTCAATCACAACATTGGCCCTGTGTCTATAGCAACACTTTCTGCTGGTGGAATGGATGAGTCTGGAGGAGGTGCTCTTTGGGGAAGGGATCAGGTCCTGTGCATTTTTATTTTTATTTTGTTTTTTTTTTAAAATAAATTTATTGCTGTTAATACTGACCCTAGAATGATAACAACAGGGGCATCTTGTTGATCTTGTTCAAGGAGAGGTTAAAGCTTTGCTACAATCTGCTTTGGATATAGCTCTTTCGGTTGTACGTGCTAATCCTACTGTTTTGGAGGGTCTTGGTGCTCAGTTGGAAGGTGATATTTTGTTTCTTTGATATTATCATATTGTTCCCTATGTTCTGTGGTTTTATATAATTTGAAGCTTTTTGCTATTTTGTTATATGCACTGGTACTTTTGCGGTAGCGCCAAATTGGTAGAAACTAGCATGATACAAATTTCCCGGGAGCTTTTCTTGCAAATAAAAGTAGGTGGGAAAAAAAATTATAATAAGAGTGGCTATTGATGAAATGAAGTCCTGTTTCAGTTTAGTCTTTTGGCCTTTTGGACATCTAGCCATGTGGAAGTTAGTGGTAATCTCTCATAATCACTTGCAAATTTGTCGTACTGCAACTTATATACTGCAGTTACTATGGGCCTCGTCAATCAAAGATGCAAGTTCATAGTTGTATTTGTTAGATTTTCCTGGTTTTATGAATCTGTTGAGCTTAAGGGAATCTCATATACAATAGTATGCTCATATTACTGGCAAATCTTTAGCTTAGGGTGCGGACTTTTTGCAGTTATCATGGTATTCTGATAGTGTTTTCTTCTTCAGAAAAAGAAAAGGTAGAAGGCGAAGAGCTACAAAAGTGGTTAAAATTGGTGGTTGCACCAACGGAACTTTCAATCTTCATTAGTGGCAAGCAAGAGTCTCTTCCCTCATTGCAGACCATCTCTGGTTAATAACCTGGTTATACTTCTTCTCCTCGGTGTGAAATATGGAGTAGCTTACTGCTCTTTGTGCCATTATCCCGTCAGTGAATTCATCCTCGTTATTGGCTGCTGATCCCACTGGCAACTTGTGTGTATTTTGGGTCATTTTTTAATGAGTGTGAGCACGCTCTTTGTTTGGACACACTATTTACCAGCCCAAGTTTGCCAACCTAAGAGCAGGGAAAAAAGTCGGAGAATAGTACCTGTACAAGCCTTCTCAAGTGTGTCAGTCACCATATTAACTTCAGCACAACCGGGTTGGTATCTGAAACTGTTGTACATTGCCTGTTAATTACACATGATCTGTCGTGTCTGCAATTGTAATTGTTCATGAGTTGCATACGATAAATATTATACGAAATATATAATATTCTCCATATATTGGTTCAAAATGTTCAGATGAATGGTGTGCATGTCGTATTTTTAAAACATCTTCTAATTTAAAACCCAACAAATTTAAAACATTTTTTCTTGTAGAATAGTTGAGCTAAGGGTAGAAAACCCTTAGAATAGTTGAGCTAAGGGTAGAAAACCCAACAAATTTAAAACATCTTCTAATTTTTGGATATTATCGAGTCTGTAAATCTTTATGCCTTGATATTATGGAGTGCAAAAATATCAGCGTCCCTTTCTGAAAGCAACGCAGGAGTTTGGTGTTGAGGGTTTTGGCCGAAGGAAGAAGAGAAACATCTTAACCTGCTGAAGGACCACTATCCCCATATCTTTCTGTAAAATTTTCAGTGTCCTATTCATTCACTTGTAACTTCAACTTTTTCTCCACTACGAAACCACTTTATGTTTATTGTTTAGTGACAATTATGTGTTGGTCAAATTTGATGATTCAATCCACGGGAACCCAAATGCCAACTAATTTACTTCAGGGATAATTTATGATGATAAATATTCGGTTTCTTTTCCCTGTAAAAAGTCATATCACAATTTGATATATGTGCGTGAACGTTTCTTTCAATATTTAAATAAATAATTTATATTTTTTAAATAAAGAGAAATGACTATTTATATATAGGTAGACAAAATGTTCGTCTATAAGCAATACAATGTTAATTGGGTCACAACAAAAGTAACATGAACCAAAACGGTCAAAACATAAGTAATGGGGACTTTTTTTTTTCTTTTTTTCTTTTTTTTTTTTATTTTTTTTTTTTAGCTTTAGATATTTAAAAAGGAAAAATATTGTGTCCTTGTAGAGAGGAAAGGGAAGTAGCAACAAGAATCGTCTCAATATGCGGTTTGTTGAAGACTATAAATGCTTGAGTTCACTAGCGTGAATAAGTAGGTTTTCTACTAATGGTTATTTGATAAATTCTTTATGCATCAATGGTTGAGAGTTATCTGCGATGATACATTAATGATTAACGAGCGTAATGTTAATAAGTGGTGGAGAACAAGAGTAGCCGCTAGATAATAAACAATCTTACATAAAAAATGAGAGATGCGTGTTTACTCATTCATATTTATTTTTATTAAAAGTTGATGTTTAATTGATTTTTTTTATTTTTTTGTAACACTACTTTTTTCTACACGTTTTCGTAGAGCCCACTCCACGATGAATTTTAACGATCAGAGTTGTCAATCTTTTAGAAGATCATTAATAGACTGTTTTGCAAAAAATTAAACAAATCCAAAATTATTAATACATTAGTTTTTGTTAAAGAAGATGGAAGAATAAGATTCTACCAAAAAAAAAATTAAAAAAAAAACCTAAACTCTTAATCCAACGGTCATATGATTTTAGATTTTGATGATTTTTAGTAGACCTAATCTTTTAGGAAAGACCTGAAAGATAAACTGTTTTCATTGTTGAAATACAGTACGAAATGAATCCTACAAAAATGTGTATAAAAAAAAGGAAAACTAATGAAAAAGGCTTGAAAACTTTGAGTTTTACCGATAAGGACAAAATAAAGATTAAAGTGAATAGTATCAGGATTGACTTTTTAGTATAAAAATATGATTTTTCATTAAAGTGAACAATATCAGAAAGTTTTCGTTAAAGTTCTCATAAAAAAAATCTATTCCCATATATATTACATATATTACTAATGCGGACGTAGCACGTTTGACGGCTTTTGCATCACAATGGCATATTTTATGCATAATTAGCAAGTTGCTTAATACGTAATGACAATCTAAACTGTATTAGCTACTCTTTTTATGTTTGGACTTTGGAGGCAAATATTCTTCATAATAACATGCAGAACTTACAAGTTTTGTTGTTCAAGTTTGACACATTTTCTTCTTCAACCATTGTGATTTTAGTTTCGACAATATTAGTCTAGTAATTTTGTTTGCTTAGCAATCAAGTCCCATAAATAGATCCAACATAACTAAGAAAAATATATACGAAATTGCTTATATTTTGGATTCGTTGCAAACGTTTGGAGAGACAAAATCACCGAGTGATCTTGTGAGTTGTGTGTTTCAATGAAATCTATGATTCTAATATGATAGCTAGTAAACCAAATTTTAAAATTCCATACGAAGTAAAGATTTAATGCCACTAAATAACAGGTAATGTATATTGATTTTCATTGATGAGAATATTATAGAATGTGTCTGATTCAATTTAATATGTTTTGTACTATATTTTATAATGTTAGCATGAAAGAGGTGATAGAAAATCTTGTTTTGACAAAGTTTCGTAGGAAATTTAATGGAAAGAGCTTAAAAACTTTAACGATAAGGATAAAATAAATAGTAAAATAAATAGTACCAGGTTTGACTTTTTAATGTAAAAAAATGATTTTTCGTTAGAATGAATAGTTACGTGAGCTTTTCGTTAAAACTCTTAAATTTTTTTAGCATTTTTCCTAAATTAATAGGTAATATGAATTAATTTTTCATCGAGTTAAGAGAGTATAGAAAATATCTGACTGGTAAAATCATTTGGAGCCACGTAAGTGTTCGCCTTCTGGTTGCCTTTTGGAGCACACACGAGGACGTTGCTTTTTAACTCCCTATAAAATGCTACAACGTAATCCTAGGCAGGTGCTCAGATTGTCTTTGAAATTTTCCGTAGTGAGAGAACAAGATAAGACTGTGAGAAGCCTCCTTCTTCTACCAGCCCCAGGTTCCAGGTTCCAGGTTCTTCCTTTCTCTCTCTTCTTTCGCTCTCTTCAAAACCCAACATGTTCACTCTCATTTTAATCCTTTTAGCTCACTTGGGTTGGTCTTAATTTTCTGTTTGGTTGCCTAGAAAGTTTAAGGTGCTTGTGGAATGAACCCAAATTCTCGAACTTATTATGATTTTGGTTTCCTGGGAATTGTTCATTTTCTGACATGGATGTGAAATTGTGAATAAAAATAGGAAATTGGTTTTATAAAATTATTTTCTGTTTTTTGGTTAGATTTGTTATTATTCATGTGATATGATGTTTTGGAGACATGAACTGATAAGATTGAGGTGAAAGTTTCATAAAATAACATGCCTTTGGATTGATCTTGTTCTGCTTTCTTATAAATTTGATATCTTGATAAAGATTGCTTGGTAGGATGAGGAGAGATTACCTACCTTTGGATATTTACCAATTACCATGATCCTAGGATTAAAATTTTTTGCATCGAATCTGTTGGCTGAGGGCGAGCTTGGTGCAACGGAAAGTTGCTTCCTTTGTGACCAAAAAGGTCATGGGTTTAAGTCGTGAAAATAGCCTCTTTGCAAAAGCAAGGGTAATGCTGTGTAATATAGACGTTCCTCCCCTGACCCTCGTAAAATGGGAGCCTTGGTGAATGTGTTGGCTGTAAATTCTATATGCATCTAGGTAGTTTTTAGTTGCTCCTGGATTGAATTTTGATGTCCCAATTGTTTGCTCAATTCAGATATGGCATCGGTGCATAGTGCCCTGACACCGGTTGTGTGCAAGAATGGCAGTCATTCTTCTGCAGCAAAGTTCCCGACGACTACCTTCTTGCCCGGGTTTGATGCAGTTGGGCGTCTTTCAAGTCCGTTTAAGAAGGAAGTGTGCCTTAGTTCCCCGAGCTCAGGTGCTAAAGCTACACTAACCTTTGATCCCCCAGCAACCAATTCTGAGAAACCCAAACTACCAAGGCATACAGTTGATCCCGCTTCTCCAGATTTTCTGCCTCTTCCATCTTTCGAACAATGTTTTCCCAAGAGCACAAAAGAACACATGTATGTCTCATTCTCTTCTCCCATTGCTCCACTTGATTTTTTTTGTGCGTCTTGAAATGTCTAACTTGTTAAATCTTTTAAATCACTCGTGAATCATAAGGTACACATGTGATTTGATTTGTGGTGTACTGATGTGTGATTTGCCCGGCAGGGAAGTTGTTCATGAAGAAACTGGTCATGTGCTAAAAGTTCCCTTTCGACGAGTCCACCTGGCTGGGGATGAACCTCCATTTGACAACTATGATACCAGTGGTCCACAAAACATTAGCCCGCGTGTTGGTAAGCACCAACATCTGTTTTATTGGTAGTCTTCTTCACCCCTCGAACTGAAACATTTGATTGAAAATTGTTATATAATGTTCAATTTGGATCGATAACGTGGTTTCCACTAAAATGTCTTTCAATTCTTGTGTTTTGGGCTTAAATGAGATTTCTTTATCCATTTACTTGGTTGAAATTGATAAATAGGACTCCCTGAACTGCGGAAAGATTGGATTGAGAGGCGAGACAAATTAGGTGCACCAAGATACACTCAGATGTACTATGCTAAGCAGGGAATTATAACTGAGGAGATGTTGTACTGCGCCACTCGTGAGAAGCTTGATCCAGAGTTTGTGAGATCAGAAGTAGCTCGTGGGCGGGCAATTATCCCTTCCAATAAGAAACACTTGGAGCTGGAGCCAATGATTGTCGGAAGAAAATTTTTGGTCAAAGTTAATGCAAACATTGGAAATTCTGCTGTTGCCAGCTCTATCGAAGAGGAAGTTTACAAGGTCCAATGGGCAACTATGTGGGGTGCTGACACTGTTATGGACCTCTCTACAGGACGCCACATCCATGAGACCCGTGAATGGATCCTGCGTAACTCTCCTGTGCCAGTAGGGACCGTACCCATTTATCAAGCGCTTGAAAAAGTGGACGGAATTGCAGAAAACCTTAACTGGGAAGTGTTCAGAGAAACTCTTATTGAACAAGCCGAGCAGGGTGTAGATTACTTCACCATCCATGCTGGGGTTCTACTACGGTACATCCCACTAACAGCAAAGCGTATGACTGGTATTGTTTCACGAGGAGGATCCATTCATGCAAAGTGGTGCTTAGCTTATCACAAAGAGAATTTCGCTTACGAGCACTGGGATGACATACTTGACATCTGCAATCAATATGATGTGGCCCTGTCAATTGGTGACGGGCTGAGACCTGGTTCCATTTATGATGCCAACGACACTGCACAGTTCGCAGAACTCTTAACTCAGGGCGAACTGACCCGTAGGGCATGGGAAAAGGATGTTCAGGTCATGAATGAAGGACCTGGACATGTTCCAATGCATAAAATTCCTGAAAACATGAAAAAACAGCTTGAATGGTGTAACGAAGCGCCTTTCTACACTCTTGGTCCTCTAACAACTGATATTGCTCCAGGATATGATCACATCACCTCTGCCATTGGTGCTGCCAACATTGGGGCTCTAGGCACCGCCCTTCTCTGTTATGTAACCCCAAAAGAGCACCTTGGGTTGCCAAACCGTGATGATGTGAAGGCTGGAGTTATAGCATATAAGATAGCTGCTCATGCCGCTGATCTAGCCAAAGGTCACCCATATGCTCAAGCCTGGGATGATGCACTGAGCAAGGCAAGATTTGAGTTCCGGTGGATGGACCAGTTCGCCTTGTCACTAGACCCTATGACTGCCATGTCATTCCATGATGAAACCCTGCCAGCTGATGGTGCCAAGGTGGCCCATTTTTGCTCAATGTGCGGTCCAAAGTTCTGTTCTATGAAGATAACGGAGGACGTGAGGAAGTACGCTGAAGAGCATGGTTACGGGAGTGCTGAGGAAGCTGTGATTCGTGGAATGGATGCTATGAGTGCTGAGTTTCTTGCTGCCAAGAAAACTGTCAGTGGAGAACAACATGGTGAAGTTGGGGGGGAAATTTACTTGCCAGAAAGTTATGTGAAAGCCGCAGAGAGGTCCACAGAGAGGTGAAGGTCAGTAAATGTTTTGTTTTTTAAATTTAAGCTGCATTCATTAGTGAATCGGTTTGAAGAAGAAACTTACTATCGTGCATTCTACTATCTTCATTTAGCAAATACAGATCAAATCGACGCTGTTCTAATTCTTTTTTCGTTCTTTTGTTTTACAATGGGAACAGTTGCAGGTTTGCGTGAATAACCAGAATCAGTTTGACGACTCTGGAGGCTTGCGTGCATGATTGGCTTGTGCACAACGGAGGTCTTAGGTTTTCATTTTCATGCTATGACATTATCCTTTCGACATTATCCTTTTCTTGCTTGAGCTTGTGTTTCTTCGTAATAAAATGCTTTCTGTTCATATTACATCGATGTGTTTATATTTTTAGTTTTTAGCATCATATTGACATAAAGGACGCACCAGGGGTGCCTGTATCTGCTCCAGCACTGGCCTCGTGGTTAGTATGTGAGCAGGTCGGGCTGAGATAGTCCCTTTGAACCTGAACAGGTTAATGCCTGCGTAGGGAGTGTGCATCTCTTTTTCCTGTTTCTGTGCTTGCACAGGGAAGGAGAGCCTTCGTCCACGGTTCAGGCTAGCTGATGGGCATCATTGCCGGTCCGATCAGTCTGCACGGCTGGGAGTAACTGCGTGGCAATTCTATGGTACAAACCGGAAACTAATGCTTATAACTCACCAGCTTCACTACATAGCATCACACTGAACATTATCATTTTGTTCTCTCGTCTTTTGCAACTGGTTTCGTCCTCCCAAAACTCATTTTTCGAGCTCGGAGCTGGTAAAAACGGAAAGGTATGCACACAATTAAGTGCAAAAACATGCACAAATCTCGGTTCATTTTGCTCCGAATTTGTAGTTTCTAAAACTGTAACCACTCGAGCATCACTCGAGGCTATATTTCTAAATCTTGAAGAAAAATGACTCGAGTCTTTCATGCGTTAGAAAAGGGTTATTTTCCCGAATTTCCTGCTAACAAATTCGGAGAACTGATTAGATACATTGTATTGAATTTCATCTGCAAATTTTACAACAAATACAAAAATGACTTGGCTGCAATCTTGATCACCCCGTTAGGGATGAACTGAAATGAATCCTCCTCACAGGTTAATCTAGGGGATGCAAAGTGGTTACAAAAACAGTTCGTCTGTCGCCTCACTCGGCCGCATCAGAACTCTCATCTGCCGCTGTCCCTGCAATCCGAAATCGAAAAATGAAAACGGATCAAGAAAGGAAATTCCAAGAAAACATCCTATAAAACTGAAACTTGCAAAAATCCCTAATCCTTCCTGCACATCCTGACTCAAGCAAGAATCAACAAATATGACTTTGAAAAAAGGAAAACCACATTGCCCCCTACCCCAGAGGTCCTGGATTCGATTCTCCCCTCCGCTAAAATCGCATTCCCTCCAGCACCTAAGTCCTATATTCGATTTCCCCCTAAGCTCACTAGAATCGACAAATATGAGTTTGATAAATAAACAACCACATTGCACCCTGTCCCCGAGTGTCTATGTTCATTTTCTCCCTCCCTAATATCACTTGTTAGGAACAGAAAAAACACATTGCCCTGCAAACTTTTATCCTCCATGTTCCAAGTTCGGAACCCAATTACTGTAAGGAAAACTAACGAAAAGTAAAAAAAAAAAACTTTAGTTTTAATGAAAAATGACAAATAAAGAGATAATGAGTTGTAAGTGTGATTTTTCGTTAAAAGTGAATAGTAACGAAAGTGTTTTATTAAAACGTAAATATGCATACATATGTTCTCAAGCTCAATTCAAAATTTTCAACAAATTCACCAATCCAAAAAACTAGTTGTACAAATGCACATAAACTAAACAAACCCAAATCAAATCATACCAAACTGGCTTCAAAAAATGGCATAAAAACTTAACCTTGAACGTCAACTCCTCCGTCTTCTTCCAGCTCTGCACCCTCTTCGTGGTCCTCCTCGTCCTCCGTCTCTCCATCGTAATCAACCCCATACCTCGCATTCAGATAATCCACTGTCTCCGGCGTCATGATCAACTTATCGGCATTCAAAATATCGAACAGATTCAAAGTCCTCGGCGTCAGCATCTTCAAAGTCCCAATATTTCTGCTCGAAAGCCTCACATTGTTCGCCACCTCCGTCACCAGAAACGTCGTCTTCTCCTTCGGGTCCAAACCCCACCTCCTCATCGCCGCAATAAACTCCGTCGTCTTCGGCTTCTCAAACTCGTCACTGAAATCCTCCACCACGATTGTGTTCTCCGCCGCGCTCGCCACCGCCGTCGAAATCGCGAGCCGTTTCTCCTTTCGATTGATCTTGATGCTCCAATCCCTGGGCTTGGGTCCGAACACGACCCCTCCGCCGGGCCTGAGCGGGGTGCGGGTCGAACCCTGACGGGCACGACCCGTCTTCTTCTGCGGGTAGGGTTTTCTCCCTCCTCCGCTGACCTCCGCTCGGGTGAGGGTGGATGCTGTGCCGCGGCGCTTGTTCTGGAGATCAGTGATGATGGCGCGGTGGACGACGGCACGAGCGGTATCCGGTAGCGCGGACTTGAGGTCGAGGAAGGTCTCGCCGACCTTATCTCCGGTGAAGGAGAGGACTGGGAGGGTGGCGAGCTCAGCGGAGACGATGAGGGGTTTGGGAGTTTTGAGAGAATTGGTGGGTGCGAGGACTGAGAAGGGTTTGTGGGACGAGGAGGGGAGGAAGATTGAGGAGGTGAAAAAGGAGAGCGATATGGGCGCTGCGGAGGTCGCCATTGTTGGAGAGCTGGAGCTCGAGTGATAGAGTTTGCAACGTGAGTGATGGTGTTCAAATTTGTTATCCACTACCACAGCGCCCGCTGCCTATCCGTGCCAGGCGCGTTTTTGTATAAACGACATGTCTTGTGGTTTTGCCCATAAGGTTATCCGACGTTGCGTTTTTCATCTACTTCGCCACTTTGCAGTTCGGTTTTTGCATAGCCAACGCCCAACCGCCACAATGCTCCTTTAACTTTAACTTGAAGTAGAGATCTCTTGACTAAAAGTTTGTGATCATTGGTTGTTTAACTCATCAAAATGTGCAGTTATGGTTCTTTTTGTCAATTCTGATAGAACTTCTGTGCTGAATTAAGAGGTAAATATAGAAATTCAAGTGAGACATTTGTAGCAATGTACTTTAACCCAATTGGAGAAGTGGTCTCTCACTTTTAACCCAATTAGAGTAATTGTCCCTCAACTCTCATCTAATTGTAGCAATAGTCCTTCCAACATAACTCATTTTGATCAAATTCTGGCGGAATTGACGAAAAAAAGATCATATTTGTATGTTTTAATGAGTTAAAGAGCTAGTGATCATACATTTTTAGTTGGGGACTATTGCTTACTTGAGTTAAAAGGTTATGCACCATTTTCTCTTCTTCGAATTATCCATTCTGTTACTCAGAATCGTAAAATTACCTGAAGAAAATGAAAAAGTTTGTAGCACAGAAAAAAGATGCATTTACTCGGTCAAGCTTGGATGAGATTGCTGAAAAATTTGTTCTTGAAGAACCCAACAAGGAAAAATGGACACCCTTTTCTGTGCTCTTCAAACCCCATCATAATGCACTCACTGGAAACTATGACATAAATGTACTAATTGCTACTTTAGAAGACAAGAGAAAGAATGTGGTTTGGCACGATCGGCGTAACGGCGCATCTTCAATTGATCTAGACAGGCCTGGAGATGCTGGTTTTATGGGCGTTCTGCTTAACGTTCTAGGTAGAATGTTTGCCGGGGTTTGGAAAAGTAGGCATTGGGTTAATTTGAGGAAGATTGACGGGTTCGGTACAATTTGGATAGTGATCTTTTTGCTCCATAGGCTTTTGAAGACACTGAAAAAGGTTAAGAGAATTCTTGGATTACATCATTGGATATGGTGGAGAAGTTTTGCTTGTTATGAATAATACATAGTGATTTTCTTTTACTTGAATCAAATAATCTGATAGGATGTTCAAATGACTGTATATAAACTATGCTTGTAACAAACTTAAGTTACAATCAGCTGATAGAAGAAACAGTTTCGTTTTGTTTTTCCTTTTCGGTTTGTTCCCCTTGTGCGTGTATTGTGTTTCGGTGCTCAAGATTATTGAGGAGACATCAGAATTAATAGGATGATGTATTGGGTGGTAAGGATGCTACTAAATGATTTCAGTCCTTGCATTTCTGGTCTTGAAGGGGCTTCTGTCGGTTAATCTCTAGTAAACATCTGGATACTGATTAGAAATGATTGAGTTTGGTTTCGTATGAACGTGGATCATGTGCTTGACATAGTGATAAGATATAATTTGCACGATATTGAGTGTATCTAATCCAGAAATTGAGTTCAAGTAGGCTAATCTGTATCATTTGATAAGATATAATTTGAGCGTTATTGTGTGTATTGATTTCAAGTTGTCACTAATCAGTTTGGTTTGATGGTTGACTGATGATACGTCTGAAAGGAAAAGTTCGGATGGATTGATTGTGAGTTTTGCAAGTTTTGTTGACTAGTTTCTTGCTCTGTAGAAAACAAAACTCGTAGTTTTGGATCTTAAGGGACAATTTGTTAACATTTCGTTTTTAGCTTTTATTTTTCGGTTAGAGATAGAGGTGAAATACATGGGAGAAGGGCGGATACAGAAGATTGGTGTATGGGATGTGGGAGAAACGTAGATGGAATGGTACACAAAATAGTGAAAACAATTTTAAGTTTTCACTTTCAAGTTTTCATTTCATACATCTCTTTCATTTTCCTTCCCTCCACCCACCGTCCATCCTTTTTTGTACCCTTGTCCCCATACTTCCCGTCTATCTGTTGCACACACAACGAAAACTAAAACTAAAACGAAATGGTTATTAAACTGGCCTCTTAAGATAATTTGTTTAATGAAGAAAAGTTGTTGATCTAGAGAGCTAGTGCATGTTACGCCATGATTTTGATGGGAGAAACGTATATGGAATGGTAAGAAAATAGTGAAAACAATTTTAAGTTTTCACTTTCAAGTTTTCATTTCATACATCTCATTCATTTTCCTTCCCTCCACCTATCGCCCACCCTTTTTCGTCCCCTTTTCCCCCATATACTTCCCGTCTATCTCTTGCACAAACAACCAAAACTAAAACTAAAACGAAATGGTTATCAAACTGGCCCCATAAGATAGTTTGTTTAATGAAGAAAAGTTGTTGATCTAGAGAGCTAGTGCATGTTATGCTATGATTTCGATGGGGTTTTAAAAACTTGAGTGGTATTTATATATCCTTCATATTATCTTAAGTCATTGAAACCTCTGTCTACTCTCTAAAGTAAGTGCCGCACGACCATCTATTTACCCTAATATCTTATGACAGACGGCTTGCTTTAGAGATTCTAACAATGATCAAAAGCACCTAACAAGCATTATCCCCCACAAAAGCACCTAACTAGCAGGATGCTTGCTGGTGTCTTCTTCCCTACGTCTTATAAGATATCCTTTTCGCCTTTCGCTTTCTTCGTGAACGATCAACTTTTTCGGACTATTTTTCCTCGGTTCTTTCAATTAATGTTTTCCATTGTCTCTCAACAGTCACCACCACTGCTATAAGCAGTAGATTTGTAGAGTATACGAACTGAGGAAACTTAAATTGTAAGCAGTAAATTCTTCTGGATGGCCTAAAAAGCTCTATTTATGTGTGTGTTGTGTGAATGTTCCAACACAATGGTCTCAGGGATAAAGTCATCAGCAGTGGAAAAAATTTCTTATCCCGAGAAAGATTTCCATTTCCATCTTTCTCACTTATCATGTGACTAATCAGGTGAACGGGGGCACGTAGAAGACTCGTGCGAATGATGACACAGAGTCTATGCTGAAAATTACAGGTGTGAACAATGCTGATGTGCTACTAATTTCACTTTCCGTCCATTCTATTTGTTTTTTGTACTTTGTTGATTTTAGGGGTCAGCGTCACTTT